TTCAATTTCATTTATATCAGAAACGTTGCGAAATGAAAATGCAGTCGTTACATTTACGTATATTACCAGATATATTTATAATGGTTCGTATTCTTCCTCAGGATTAATTAATTTCCAATACGCGATACCACAATCAACTGGTTATTGGCAGCAACGTTTACTGAGGTATTTTTAATTTTGCGCCGCCTCCGAAAAGGTTGAAATGTATTTAATATACTACCTAACGAGTAAATAGGTTTCATTCATATCTGTTACGTAATTGTATGATTGAATGAAATAGAAATTACTTCATTAGGAAATAGAAATTATTTTATACTTTTTAGTGCATTTCGAAGTCGGCGTATTTCTTTTCTTAAAATTATTTTATAAATCAAAGTGAAGTATTATTAATCTTGCAGGCAGTTATTTAATCAGCAATTATCCAGTACCGCGTTCGGCATCCGGCAGTCTACAAACTATTACTAATCCGTAACGTAATATAATGGTCCGCAAAAAATCTTCATAATAAATAAATATATGAGTGTATCATTCTCAATGCTTACATTAATTCGTATTTTTAAAAATTATGTTAGTAGTACGTGAAATTTTAAATTGTGAATTTATCATTCGCAATATCTAAAGGGTTGCCATCCGTTAATTTAGTAGACAATTATCTAGTATTGTAGCGTACAGGAATAATTGTAAAGTGCGACAAATAAATTAATTGTATTCAAAGAGAAATCAGACAAGAAAATCCTTAGAATTCCCTTGCGAAATATAATAGAATAGATGGAAATAATATTTAGCGTCGAGAACATTCGAGAAAAGCGAATACTTCAGACTAATCGAAAATTCTGTCGCGATGCGAGAGTTCGTAGGCCGCTCAGCGGAGCGAGAGGCAAGGCGCGACCCGCGAGCCGCGAGCAGCGATCGCGGAACTTGGCGACGCGTTGTTGATAGCTCGGCCGCAGGATAGCAACCGGCCTATATAAAATAGAGTCGCGCGCCCGGAACGGGCCTATTTGGCAGTCTGGGAGAGAGGACGAGGTAAGTACCATCGGCCG